GAAGTTCTGAAGGCATGGCCCATTGGGAACTGCACTTCCAACCCAAAGGTGGCACCTCTCCTGCAGTTCAAATCCAGCAGTCACTTCTCAGGAGTAAGACAGGCAATCTCTTCCTACATCACTTATAGCCTCAGAAAACCTGCTACAACATCAGCTATAAAGTCAGTTCCAACTTGATGGCAATGAGTTTGAGGCTCTCAAAATATAATCAGGCCTTGTATTTAGGAACTGTGGTAGATAATCAAGCCAAAAATGAGATTACTGACACAGCAACTTAGTTATCTTGGGGTGGAGAAGGGCGGTAATATATCACTGCATTTAAAATTATAGAATGAACGTATTTTTAAAAATGGACACTCTCTGAACCTTAAAGAATATGTGATGTGATTTACACAAGTAGAAATAATTTTTTTCCTAAAAAAAAAGTATATTCCGTTACCAATTCAATCAAATTCTTCCCTTGACCTAGAAGTGGGAACTTAATTTCATTTTAACCGTTTTATTTTTAGGATATATATTAAAAATTACTCTCCCATTTAAAGGAAAAAAATCTTAACATAAGAAAATAAATTTCATTTTTAGGTGACACACCATCACCTCTTTCCCTTCATGTTCTCTTCTCAGTAAAGGCTAGGAGGGAGTTCACCGCTATTAATCAGAAAAAGTAGTATAACAGCCTAGGAAATGTTATGTCCTCAATGAAAGGCATACTGTTTATTATAGACATCTGGAGTATGGGAAAAAAAAATATCACACAATGATCACATTACAGCTCCTCCCTCCCCATCAAGTGCCATTATCTCTTCAAACAGCATTTATGTCAAACAGGGATTCAAACTTTCCAAACTGAACTGAATCAACTAGGAGACTAAAGTGTTTACTACAGATGTATCAGAACAAAATAAGAAAGTAAGGAGAGAAGAAGGATAGGATCCCAGAGGGAGGAAGTGGAGAGGGATACCTCTCAGAGTATTTCTAGTTCTCAACTGTATGGCTCCTCACAAGAATGTCAAGTTTTTAGCAACTCACCCACACTTTTACCTGCTATTGAAGTGCAGAATTTTTAATTTATATGAAACAACACTGAATTAACATGAAATACAAATGGCTATTTTAAAAAGGAATGATATGAAGTATAAAGGTAAAAATGCAATCTGTAATGACACTATGTCACACAGAAAAGATTTTGTGTCCATAAGCTCATTCCATGATGACAACTCATCAACCACTCTCAAGCAGAAGTACTTATGGTACAACTGCAGGGGTGGTCAAACTCAATTAGTTCTTATAACTATTAATACTAAAAAATAAAGTCATAATAAAAAGACAACTGCTTTGAATTACCTGCAGTACTCTTATTAAAAGTCTTTTTAAATCAATAAGCCACCTGCAGCAGAATGCAAAAATCATTATCTAAATGAGCCCATAAAAATCAAAGTGATGACAAGTTCCAGTGATTATCATATGTAATTACTCTGGCTAAGGTTTACTTACACTACAGAGACCATTACAACCAGGGTCATTATAATGAAATCTAGACTTCGTCAGGGAGCGTGTCTGCAGCAGGCTGCCATCATACCTATGCACTGAGGAGCTCCTGGATGAGAAGCACAACACAATGAAAATCGAGCAATTCCAAAGACTGAATTCTCAAAGTACTGGCTCTTCAGTCATTCAGGTTTGCTTTTAAGATGCAGATCTTGTTTATGATCTTGGGGGTGGGGGGAACCATAAACTGAACAGTCAAATTTGCAAATATTTCACCATCAAAAATGAGTGGTTTACTAACATGAAAGCTAATGGTGTTGATATTCCTGAAAAACTACTGTAAGAATTCAAATCAGGTACCTTCCCAAAAACGAAGTTCAATTCCAACTGTCACTTTAGAAGTCTAAGAGCCTCTGCCAAGAAGAATTAACTAGTTATTCTCAAAGTGTGCCATGTGGGAAAAAATCTAACCAGCACCATTTCTCATATTCTGGTTTCTTGGAGAGATTGAGTGGCATGCCTTCAGAATTAAAAGCTTCTCCTGGTCAAATCAGAGTAAGAAAAGCCAACTGTTGACTAAATGGTATCTTGTGTTGCTGCCCTACTACATCACAGCTGTCAACTGGGAGTGACTCTGCCTACCAGGGGGCATCTGGCAAAGTCTGGAGCCTTTTTAATTTCCACTACTGGTGAGGAGTGGCATCCACTTCCTAAACAACAGGCCTCTGGAAACTCCATGAACTTTGATGTATGTCGATAGTTACAGAAATGCTTCAGGCCTTTTGTTCATAGGGTCGCTATGAGGCATGCTCGACTCAACAGCAATCAACAACACGAAGGATGCTGCTGGCACCTAGTGGGTAGAGACCAGGCATGCCGCTGAACACCATATAATACAGAAGATACCTTTCTACTACTATAAATATCCTTCTCTAACATTACTTAACCACAAAGTTTACTGAAGAGAATAAACACAAGCACCTTTCTTTAAGAACTGTTACTTCACCAATTATATCCTGACAAGAGGTACTAACAAAGTAATCAAAATCAGAATGTAAATCATTAATATTCAGCTTACGTTTCTATATTCACAACTGGCCACAGGATTATCTGAACAGTCTTAGAAATAGTTTTAAATAAAAACACAAATCTTAAGACTTAAAAAGATAAGGCAACTAAATTTATTGGATAAGGGGAAAAAATAAAAGGCAACTATATAATCTTTCAAATTTCTCTTGCATTTTGGTGATAACAACCAATAAATTTCTTTTCTAACCAAGTAAAATGAATTGGTTATCTCTTTTGAAACAAAAGGATTCCTAATTAAGAAAGAGCAAACTCTGTGAGCATAATTCAAAGGGACTTGTTCAACCCCAAAGGCTGGCAGTTCGAATCCACTAGTGGCTCCTCAGGAGAAATGTGCAATCTCATCCCATTAGCCTTGGAAATCGGCTAGCAGGTCAGGAGGGCAGGAATTGGCTTATTCAGAAAAGAGAAGATCCCTCAAAAGTAGGTAACCTCTTTTAGGTAATGGTGGTGATGGTATTTGGATAAAATTGGTCATACAGTTGCTCGTATCTTAAGATTACAACTAGTTTATACTGAAACTTTCAAAGGATTCTGCATGTTTAAGCCTGCACATTCAATACTACTACAATAGAATGACGTTTGTCAATTCTTATTTAATTAAATCAAAGGGAAGGTACAGCTTGGCTAAGAAAGGTGCCTCGTTCTGCCTATGACCATCCATATAGTATGGCCAGGACTCAGACAATCAAGAGAAAAGCTGAGTCTACTGGAGTGAACCAGGGCAGACGAGTCAGGAAAATTCTGGAGACAGCAATTCCCATGAGGTTCCCAAATCCTTTCCTGAACAATGGGAACATGCTCACGTGTCACCTGGTGAGAATAAGAAGAAAACTTCCTAAAAGAAATCATCGGGCTGCTACTTGGGACAAAGGGTCAGGTAACAGTAGGTGCCCACTGCAGGCTTCACTTTCAAACCATCCCACAGGAGGGGGCACTCTGCTGGGGTCAGGGAAGTGTGTAAAACTCCAAGGCCAGGTGCCGAAGATAAAGTCCAGGCCAACGTAAAGTAAAAACTCATGACTACAGAAGACATTTCTGTATGACACTGCCAACACTGGAAGATGACTTGCACAAATAATTCAGAAGCAAATCTATAAACCCCTGCTATGGTTTTAAAGCTATTATAGTGCCAGAAAATGACAAAGCATCAAGCAGAGTCCTAGAGCCGCTAAACCACTTGGGCCCCCATAAAAAGACATGAGCCTCAGAGAAGCTGAGGCAGCACCCCTCTGAGAAGACGTATCTCAGGTTAGGGGCCTGAGAAAGAATGGCAAGGAGAGTCGTCCCCCTAGACAGGACAAGGCACAGCAGGCAGCCTGACTGTGGGCCGTGTTCCTCCCACCACAGCCCTGGCTGAATGTCCATCTCTCCTTCCCAGTCATCCTGTTTGCACCTTTATCCCACTGCCCCTGCTTTTCCTATATCACTGTACCACTAAGCATGGTTGGTGAAGGGGTTTAAATGACCAGTTATGAAGCTGGTTGGAACAGCAGCAGCTCCCAGGTCTGAGAGGTCTGCTTATTTCCGAGTGCCTGGACTGAGGACTAGCGACAATGACCAGATGGCGTTGACATGAGAGCACTGGGAAGGAGGAATGCAGCACATCTTTGGTTTTAGGTGAGATCGCGAACAGTGAGGACACTTTTTTGTGCAGACATTTTCTACAGTGTAATCATTACTATGTAATGTGTAAGACTACCTGTGGCATATGCCAAGAAAATAAACTTACAGTGGCAGCTGAGAGCCATTCTGGCCAGTACCACCTTGCTTGTCCAGGCTCTGAAGGGCACTGCCCACCTTAAAACAGGGGGTCTCGCTGCATTCCTATCACTCTCCAGTAGTAGCAGTTATTTGGATTTTCCTTCCTTGACAAGTTTCTATCACACACAGGTACTGGCTTTTGCACACTTTATATCAAAAACTTATCTAAAATGTAGGAAGCTAGCTTTTGAAAAAAGGTTACTACCTCTCATATAAATAAATACAGGGAGCTCTGGAGGCCTAGCGCTAAGAAGCTGAAATGCAATCTCAAAGTTAAAAGTCACCAGCTGTTCCACCAAGGATGCGCAATCTCTTCCTGTGTGATTTACTGCAGGAGGGTCAGCTATGAGTTGATTCCCACTCGACAGTATACAACAACTTAAAATAAAGCTCATGTAAGAACACAGGTGTACCCACGGTAATCTCTACACATCTCAAATTCTAGACGCTTACTTTCAATTTTCAAACAACTAAAATTAATGGGAATCATTTTAAAATACTAAATTTGAAAAACCTGCTGAAGAGCAGGAGAACAAAGACATAATGTAGGTGTGCATTCAAAACTAATGTTGCTGCCACTTTCAGTAAAATTAAGCAATTAAGCCACATCCATCAGGCTGCAGAGACTGCGCTTCAGGCCAAGAGCTCTTTACTTCCATTACCATTTTTGTAAGTAGTCCAGTGCCTCCAAACGAGCACCAATCTCAAAAGTGATTCCAGGTCGGTTGGGGGGCTTTTTACTCATCTTTAGATTCTATTCTTCAGTATTTTCTTTTCACTGTCTCAAGGGAAAAACAAAAAATAATTGTTAGATTGTGATACATGAAATGGAAAGGGAATACAGCATAAGACAGCATAAGAAATAACACCAAAGAGAATTTTGAAAATAATACATGAGAAGTTAAACTTCAAATTTTAAGGAGCTTAATAATTAGAAACATGTCCAGGTAAAGTTACTATGTAACTTTATGTAAGCAATCTTGATGCTGAATTAAGGAAAAGGACCTAAGGAGAAAAGATAACTGCATAAGAAAAATAAGTACAAGGCCAATTATAATTGCTAATGACTACAATGCTTTAAAATTTAGTTAAACACTCAAGACAATTCTCTACAATAACTAAGGAATTTCTCATGGCTTTGAGAAATTAAGATAATTTAGTATTATAAATGTCACTAACTGAAATTACCAAATGTATCAAGTTTTTACTTTAATTATAATCACTATTTTTTGACTGCCTAGTAATAGACAGCATCAGATAAAACACTAAGAAATTAACAAAAATGGACAAATCAGCATATTCCAAATTCAGTGAAGACTTGAATAATTCCTTTTACAAGTTTTCATTATTAACAAGCCCTCCATTGAAATATCAAATAATTCTTTTAACATATAAAGTTACAAAGTAAATTTTATTCTTATTCATCACATTTATTAAGTAACAAATTTTAACTCAGAGTACTTTTTTCTTCTATGTTCTAATACAGTTTTTTTGTTGGCAATGGAAGTGACTATAATGTCAAAGCAGAAAACTACAAAGATGATGTATTTCTCTACAGATCAATAGGGTTTGGGGGTTGGGTTGGGAGTGAGACTTTTTATTATCTTAGTGATCATACTGGCCACTCTATGGACTTGAGGTAACCTCTTTCAATAATGATTACTTAAAAACAGGAATGCACTTTGAGAAAACCTACACAAGGTATAAAAGCCTTAAGGAATGTAAACCCACTGCTACTGAGGAGCAGAAGGGACCAGAAGACCTGGTGGTGACTCTTGTTTCATATTTAGGGTTGTTATTATTATGACTCCATTTCCTGACAGCTGCACAAAAGTAAAAAGAAAACACACACAGTCGTGTCCTTTTAAAAAATGGTTTGATTACAATTCAACACAGACAAAACACAACAGCAAACATCAAGTTCTACTTGCCATATTTCCTGTTTGAAAAACTTGCCTACAGAAGGGGGAGGGATAATGTTAGCACTCACTTATCATGAAACAATGTAACAATCCAACTTAAATGGGGGTAGGGGCTTGGCCTCCACTTAAGAGCCTGAAGGTACAGTGGTTAGCACAAAGCTCCTGACTCAAAGGAGAGCAGCTGGAACCGGCCTGCGGCTCCAAGGGAGGAAGGTGACACGGTCTGTGCCCAAACAGATTCAGTCCTGGGAACCCGACAGAGCAGCTCTCCCCTGTGTGTGTACAGGGTCCCTATGCAGTCCTCCTGATGTGAATCTTTTTAATACCATCAGCAAAGATGTAGTGCATTAAAAATGTAGCAGGAAGGTCAGCCAGGATGCATGCACGGAGGGGCAATGAACAAACGGAGGAATCATTCTGAATAGATGGCTTTTGAGTGTGCAAGAATCTATCAATCATCTTTACAGTGTTTCACCGGAGTAAACTCACTAAGGGGGTAGTTCACCAGGCACACTACCACTTTCTAAGATCAAACTTCGCGCCTGTCGTACGTGGCAAGTCAGGCAATGTAAGTCCCCCCAGGGGTATTTCGGAATGAAAAGCAAGTCGTCCCGTTGTTTGCAAGGGCAGGCGGAAGGCGGGCGAGAGGAAGATGAAGCGGGGACGTTTTTCTAAAAAGTTAAGACCCTCCACGGAGCAGGAGCAGAAAAGGCACGGGAGCAGAGAGCCCGCGGAAGAGAATTTTTTTTTAAAGGGGCAAGAATGGCAGCGATGATCAAGATGGTAGAGCTGCTAAGAGGTGCCAAGAGGTGGAGAGAGGGAAACTATTAAAAGACACGGAGAGAGACGAGCAGCCGAGGACAGAGGAGGAGGAGCGGCCACAGCAGGTAGGCGATGCGGGAGGTCGGCGAGAGGCCGGCAGAGGCTGCAGCCGAGGCCACCCGGGGCCCGGCGGGCGGGAGTGGCGGCGCCTCCGGGTTTGACAGGCGTCCAGCCCTCGGCAGGGGGCAGGGCAGGGGGAGCGAGCGG